AAGTAGGTGATCTGCACCACGTTCCCGTAATAAGTACGGAGGTTGGATTTACGATGAATAAAAGGGTTTTCAGATGAATATTTTCATTGGACAGAGGGCGGGCATTGAACGAAAGAATAGGAAACTGAGAGGTAGCATGATGAAGCAGGTTATAGTATAGATCGCATGTGGTAGCTCCATGAGGACTCGTGTGATTGGTTAGGGTAAGAATTCGTTTTGAGCAAGGGAGTAGATTCAACAATTTTGTCACCATATGCAATATATTTAACACTGCCGGCAAAAAGCCGGTGAAATTACTAAGAAAGTATCATGATTATTACTGATTATAACATGTGATAAAGGCATAGTGTACACCTTGGGAGCCGAACCAAAAATGCTACAGGTCTGTGAGCGCTACCAAGTGGCCGTCCATAGTTGGAATTAATTTTTATGTATGGTGTATGTCTAACATGTTCCAGACGTTTACTCCAAAGGTTTGTTGTTTTGTTTTGGCTCCTTCGTAAGTTTTGGCGAATCGAGTGTCGTTAAACATACTTGTTATGATTTGCAAGGTTCAAATATGTCGACGTTCAGTCCATGGTCAGTCATATAAACGTTATGATTATTTTTTTCTGTTAGCCGTTGCATAGTTACTGTTGCTGGGTGTTGCACTGACAGGGATTTGAACTGTACTGTCTGATTTGTTATCAATACAACTACTTAGAGTCAGACCTAAGTCAACACTTTTAGGGGAGTACACCACCGACATAAGAGTTATTTTCTTCTAGGTTCTGAACTTTAAGAGATTTAGGAGAGTTCATTAGTAGCGGCATATTCGTAAAGTCAGAGGTTCTCTTAGAATCGGAATTAATATTATAACATTTAGGATTATGATGCGTTTGTGAATTTGAAGCTGGTGGTCTGTAACTAGGTCTTCCTGTTTTTCGCTGATATGTTGTTCCATCTGGAAGAATCCTAATCTCCTTGAAAGTCTTTTTGTCTCATCGTCCAGGAAAAAGTTAGGGAATCACTGGGGTCTACAAATGAGTTTACTTTGAACAGGATTATTGAGTGCAGATCAGGGTGGCTATTAACTCTAAGCAGATCAGACTAGAGATTTTTAAGGACATATGTGCTTGGCATATTAAACACAACTGTACGGCTAGATCGTCTTATTCTTCCAAACACCTCTGAAGTAACACGATCTAGGAAATTATGTGTCATTCATCTGATCTGGAATCTCTGTGATGTTGGGGTTGATGAGATACTTAAGCGGATTGAGAATGTATATGTAAAATGTCAACATTTTTATGTCATCCACATGGTTGTAGTTCCAACTTTCATCATTGTTTACCAATAGAGTCTTTAACATGTCTCGAATGGCGAGAACTGGTACAAGCTTATCTGCCTCTGGATGAGCGGAGTAGCTCGTTTCGTTGAAACTGCCTGAAACCGTAACGCTAGTGATGTTAGATCGTATCGTTTTGCCACGTTTGACTGCATGCCTGGAGCGGGGTATTTCAATTATTTTCGAGGCATGATAAGAAAGGGATGAGTAGCATGCGGACTGAACAAAGTGTTAGAAATAGAAACAGGTGCAAAAATCAAGGCCGAGGGCTCAAGATAGTTTGAAAATCAAAAACCTTTGTTTGAAACATTAATGAATGTATCGTGGATATTACTGAAGGTGTCAAATACAAGACAGAAAAATGGTAGGAAGATTGTAGTAGATATGTAACAGTAGAGGCAAAATAGGACATAAATGCTCATATTCGGTAAATTTTAACATGTAGATTACACTGAAAGATAGCCCCAGATAACAAAGCAACCTAGAACTGTCGACAATTAGTATCATACAATCGAAGTGGATACGGTGTATCGTACATATATGAACTAAAAGCCTGTATTGGTTAAAATTTGGGATGCAGAGATATGTAGTTTTAAAGATTAACACCATCTAGAATTATTATGATCCTTTAGGACTGAAATATAAGAAACAAATTTTGGATTAAAAAAACACTGATCAAAAACCAAGACGAACTTTTAGTGGCATCGGGTCCTAACCACACAGTTCTCAAAGCAGAACACGAGACTTTTTGGAAAATAGATATGAAACATTTAACGTAGAGAAAACTCAATGATGAATAAGGCGGGAACAATCAGTTCGATTAATTCAAATTGATCGGATTTCATGACTAGGCCTTGCAGGCGTGGTCTTACATTACTTTTATCCATAGCAAATATATTGTTCTATATCTTGCCTAAGCCTGTTCTCCAGCATGTATGGATCATTGTTACAATGCGATGAATCACGGTAGACAATGATATGACTTCCATGTAAGATCTTATAGATTAGGTAGTTACATCATAGTAAATCTACAATTTTAGGATTAAGTCTATTATTAGAGCAGTACTTATATCGAAATAGACCATAATTCTACAGACCTGTCAAATCGAACAGGCAGTTTCAGAAATTAAGTAAGTTATAGTATCTAAATACTATAGTATATGAAATCTTATGTAACCTTCAGGGTATAGTGCTTCATCATATGTGATCATATATTTCTTAAAGTTAGATATAGGTTTGAATAGAGCATGTAAACACATGAATTATGTAAGTTATAGCATCCAAACACGGCATAAGGAATAGTATGTAAATATGGAACGCAACTCTTCGTCAAGTATTTGGTTTGAAAGTGACAAAATATTGTTCTATCGGATAGTCATAATAAATAAGTAACTACATGAATACGAATTTTTTACATGACCATAATTGTCTATACCATGAATATGTGAAACTGAGATCTTATCGAAATTTACAGTTTAACTGTTGATAATTCAGAATGGAGTTATGTTTCGTATTTTCAAGAGGTCGTCATTCAAAAAATCCTTTGAGAAACAATTGTTAGAAACCACAGTTGCCTTGGCTTTATTTCGGCACACTAGAAATTCCACCATATATGTCTGTTTTAGACTTAATCTTCACACATGGCGATGATGTCAACGAAATGGGGTTCCTCCCACATACAGGGAGAACTGACCATTAGATCATCTTATTCGAGCTCAGGGTTGTTATGGTCTATCAAGCGGTTACGCCGGCGCGTCTTAATATGTGGAAGGCACATGTGAAGGCTGTTGACTCTGCAGCCTCGACAAAAAGTTGAAAAATAGACTCCGGCACATCAGTGAGAGAAGCATGGACCATTTGTTGCAGTTATACAATCATGTAACCCAACCATTGCTACCCTGCATAATCCAAAAAAGAAGCATGGCCATTCCGGAATAAACTGAGAGATCCAATTCTTACTAAGGCAGAATTAGAAAATGACGAAACGATTCCAACTATATTGGCACAGGAAGTATGATGGAACGCTATAAACTGTTCCGAAATAGGTATATAAATATAGTTCGTGAAGTTCAGCGGAAATACAAAAAGCATTTGACACAATCTGTAATCAAGCAGCCGAAGAGATTGTGTGAGTACATTAATTACTAAACAGAGACTCGCCATAAGATTCCCAACCTGACTATGGAAGGGCATGCATCTAAAATGATAGAGGAAGATCAGAACAAAGTAGAATGCATAGTAGGTTATTTTATGACAGCTTTTAGTCAGGAGCCTCTTTTAGACGAAAGACTAGATCCAAATACAAGGTCATCAAACCGACCACTCATTAGAGACTTTGGTTGGGACGACTAAACAAAGGTTATTTGAGCTGTGGACATGGAAAAGCCGATGGGACCAGATGAAATGCACCCTCAAGTTATGAGACAAATTGCTCAATGTACTGCCGTCCCACTGAATACGATATTCAATATGTCACTTGGTCAGAGTGTGTTACCTACGGACTTCGACTCATAAAACGGGTTCAAGACAACTTCCAAAAACTACAGAACTGCCAGCCTGATTAATGTCATAGTTAAAAACTGGGAGGGAAAATCACAACGGACATAATGATATTTGTGGAAACCAACAACTTGTTAAACAGTGAACAAGATGGTTTCACAAAAGGTTCTTATAGAATAACAAACCTCGTTATAGCAAGGGAGCAATGGATAGAGGTAATAGACAATGGAAAATCAGTGGATGTTATCCACGTAGACTTCAACAAAGAAGACTACTCTGCCGAACCTCTCCTTATATGAGACAATGGTTTCTTGGTGTTTCGTATTGAGAAAATAAGAAAAAATTTCAAATACTCCTAAAAACTAGTACTTAATAGATTACAGTGAGGCTCTGTCCTAGGTCCTTACTTTTAATGCTGAATGTAAATGGACTTTGGAATAACCGTGTGTCACGATTGTAAGACGGCGCTTTACTAATGAGCGGTCATAACTAAGCGGTACTGAACCCTTTGGATTTTAGCTTAGACATTTACCAAGTTAAATACTAATGTGATCACTGCAGTATACACAATCTTAGCAAGATCTCAAATTGAAAACTGCGTTCAGGCTCCATGCCCCTGTTTAAAAATCGACTCGAAAATTCAAGGGGCAGCTACCCGTGCAATGCTAGGACTCCATGGTTTACCTCAGAGAGGGATGAAAAGCTTGATCTCATCACACTATTCCACTGTAGACTAGGAGTTATTCTGGTTTTGATGTTTAGTATGCGGAACAATGGTAGTTCCTCTTTCTCTCCTTACCAGATCAGGACAAATCAGAGAACATAGCAGGCGAGTCTCAAAAGACAAGAGTTAACAAAATACCCGTAGCATACAGGTTTTCTACACCGAATAATCAAACATTGGAAAATTTTACCCAAAGATGTGATGTCCCCATTTTTAACTGACTTACCCAAAAGTAAACTAGACACTCGCAGAGGCTTGCCAGAAAGGGGCTAACAGTGAACTTAGGTCTTCTGTCATCAGTGCACAAACCTATATATTTGAATTCGAATCCCGTGATTTTAGCCGGATGCAATCTGCTGAACAACTAGCTCACCATGTGACAGCTAATGTGGCTATCAGTATCGCGTTACTACTGGACAAGTCACATAAACAATAAAAAGGAACCAAAACAAATCACTTAGTTTATACTAGCTTGTCGTAGATAAACAAAATTGTACATTATTACCATATTTCAACTGCAAAATGGCCGGCTATAGCAGCTCAACAACCTTAGTGTTTAGTACAATGAATTATTATGATGAATTTTTTTTACAAATACGGTCATTCTAAAGGTTAAATTTCAATTATCTAAAAATTGAATGTCCAAGTTGGGAATCAACAGCCCAGAGGCGCCAGACACAGTTTAGTGAGCATCGTTATGGATTCAAACGAGGAATTTGTTGTTGTTAACGAAGAAAATGATAATCGTCGTGATGCTGTGGCCCGCCTCGATGTTCTGGTTGATTTATTTAAGCAGACAATACGTAAACCACATAATTTATCCAGTTATTTTTGTCAGGCACTCTCAATCAATCGAGTATCCTGCTAAAGGATGAATTACAAACTGCCATCACTGTAACCCTGCAAAGTAGTACACCAGATCATTCATCGACTGTTGAACACTTAGTAAAGCAGCTAGATGATATTGTAAGACTGTGCCTACATCATATTTTCTAGTCGGTAAGCCCCGAGGAAGTGCGGAAGACCTACGTGAGGCAGCTGTGTTCACGACTAGTTGCCGTCAATGAAGAGAAGCAAGTTGTTATGACAGAGCTAGTGGAATTAAATAATCAGCTTCGTAAAGCAGAAGCAGAGACTCGCGTATGTCACCAGCTCCTAGAGCTTCACTTCTAACGGACTTTCTTTTAGAAATGGAAGAAAATCATTGAGCCGATTTTGAAGATTGAAACAGAGATCAAAAAGTTTGACTCAACGCTCTCGTAAGTCTTCTCATTTTAGTATTAAGTACAAATCATCTCAAAATTAATTCTAGTTCTAAAGAAGAATCTGTTTTGGACGAGACTGGGTCACTTCTTAGCGACGACAGTACGGCCGATGATGTGTGCAACTTCCTTAATTCTATGCATAACAGAATTCAGACCTTGCACACTGAGGCAGCTGCAATGAAAAGTAGGTCTAGCACTTTTAAAGTTGATGTGACAATGTGAGGTCACTAAGTGTCATCCATTTTTTTGTCCGTTATTGTTTTTCTTCGTTCGTTTTAGCCATTCATTTGCATTTCCGCCAATTTGGTGGGATCGCGACTTAAACTGCTACTTGTACCAGCTTTTTAATTCAGTTGGCTACATGGCCGCATAATTATATGTTATAATTACCTGCCCGTGGCTGCTAAGTTGGTGTTACGCTCAGGCAACCATAATGTGCAGTGATGTTACTTCCTCACGATGGAAGGAAGGAATTATGAAAGGTCGACCCTAAAAGTATCACACCTTCGGCGGTAAGGCCTTTCCAAGTGCGGAGCCTTGCGTGACCAGTCGCAAGCAGTCATTCCTTGGGGTCTGCGGTCACGTCCACAGGTCGGTAAAACTAGTAATTCCGCTCCTTTTTCAGGCTCTTTAAACTTAATGCTATATTTACGGCATTAAGTCTACAAAACTGGCCGTCAAGATCAAGAGCCATAATATACGGAAGGTAAATCACACCTGTTTCAATACTGACTATGTAACATCATGTGCGTTGCCACTTTAATCCTTTACGCATATTTCAAAGACGCAGTATATATCAATTACATTGGATTCTGAAGTCATATCTAAGGTATCTTGTTGTCCTCCATGACATAAAGTCCGAACACCAAAAGGTTCAGCATGTAGTTTAGAACGCAGTTTTGAGTTGGCCAGGAACAATTTTTGCTCTATGTTGTTTAATTGCTAACCCAATCCTAGTATTTGTAGCGCAACAATTATCGTCTTTTTTTCAACCACACAACTAGAGTAAAAACTAGTTTATTATATGAAGCGTTTAGATGCCTCAGTATCCAACTGAATATAATACAATATCCACAAATCCCTGTACTGATAAAAATCATGTGCTCACTAGTGACTAGCTTCTAGAAAGATTCCTTGGACTCCTAGTGAGGAGCCGTGACCAGTGGAGTCCAATATGTATCGGGTGTGACACAGTTATCCACCTCAAACCATGGTTAGGGGTTGCGCATGATCATGGTTCCCCAGTATACTCGATACATATATATTAAGTTTGTCGATTGTATATCAGTAAAAAATGATCTGGATATTTAGACTGTGTTTGAATTAAAATATTATTTATTTATTTATTTGGACATAAATATTAGTACAAGAGGGCACCAAATATATATGCGCCATACAAAACAACGAGAATTCGGAGAGAGAAAAGGAGGTAAGGGACGTAAAAAAGAGCGATAACGAACAGATTAGTGTAAGGTAGTGTAATAGTAATAAATAAATAATGATGGAGGTAACGGAAAGGTACAATCAGAAGAAACCTCTCAGTTAGGTAAGAAACAACCATTTTTATAAAGAGTGAAATAAGGTTACAGCAGGATCGCCACTGGCTTCTATTCTGAGCCATATCTGATAACGTCTCTAGCCACTGTGTAGCACCATCTCTCGGACCCCAGCCAGGGAGTAGTGAAGGACCAACACAAGCCAGCCCTTTGCAGCTTTCTTTCATCCCACGACACCATGTCATGCACTGACCACCTCTCCGCTTCTTCCAACCAGTCCCAGAGTCGGCAAATAATGCACAACACCATGCCAAAATAAAGAACCGACTCGATTTACGCTTCGTGTATCTGGAAACCCTGATTCTGCTTCCTGTGGCCTCGCCGGCGTAGGTATAGCATTGAGTCCTAGGGCAGAACTAGCTCTCTTAGAGTGGATCCCAGTAAACAGTCGTTTGTGCGCTGTCCGACTGAACGGAACAGTAAGAATCCGGAAAGATAGGGACACTCGTCGTTGCCTCTTCGTCGTCTCTGCCTATTCTCCCACTGACCGCAGCTCAGATGATGTAAAAGATGAGTTTTACAGAAAGCTTTCGGACCTTCTCCGAAAAGCTAAGCGCTCGGATGTAGTAATAGTGGCCGGTGACTTTAATGCTCAAGTAGGTAAACTAAGCGATAAGGAAAGACACCTAGGTGGATCCTATGGTGTCGTGGCTCAAAGAACAGATAATGGCGACCGTCTGTTGCAGCTATGCTCAGATAACCGCCTCTTTCTTGCAAATACTAACTTTAAGCATCAGGAAAAACATCTTTTAACATGGCGACCCCCTAATTCGTCCCAACGTTGGACCCAAATGGATCACATCGCTATCAGCCACCGATGGAGGGGCTCGATAGAAGACTGTCGCTCATTCTGGAGCACATGCCTAAATTCAGATCATGCTCTAGTGCGAGCGCGTATTTGCTTTCGTCTTACTGGACGTAGGAAAGATCCTGCAAGGAAACCTCTTAGGGCCCTACTTAATGATAGTCAAGCTAAGAGTATATTTCAGGAACAACTAGGAAAACAGTTAGGCAGCCATGTATGTGACGCCCACCCGATGCAGCACGGAATGATATCCGAAAAGCTGTGGAAACAGCAGTGATATCTGCTAGTAAGGTAAACCAGAAGGTTAGGGAGCATCACTGGATCTCAGCAGCATCTATCTCACTGATAAATGCTCGGAAATACATTCCACCTGGCTCTGAACATAATGAAGAGCGGAGTCAGCTTAAGCACAAGCTGACAAGAAGTCTACGCAATGATCGCGAACAGTGGTGGGTAGCGAAAGCAGGAGAGATGGAAAAGGCAGCGGCAATAGGTAATAGCAGACAACTGTTTAGACTCGTTAAGGAAACCGGAATTAGGAACCCGACCGTTAGCGAAACAATCTCAGAGAAAGATGGACATATTATTCATTCTCAATCCAGGAGATTTGATCGATGGGCAGAACACTTTAGGGATCAGTTCAACTGGCCTTCAGCCACACTTCGGTTTCCTACGATCTCCAGTCAACCTGAATGGCAAGTTAATGTAAGTCCTCCGTCCCTTTACGAAGTTGAAAAAGCCATAGGAAATCTGAAGCGAGGGAGAGCAGCAGGCCCTGACAGGTTTACTCCTGAGATTTTTAAGGATGGTGGTCCAGTATTAGCAATGAGATTTACCGAGGTCCTAGGTAGAATTTGGGAACTGGACGTAATCCCATCTGACTGGTCTCAATCACTGATTGTGCCAGTCTATAAGAAAGGACAAAAGTCCTCTTGTGACAATCACAGAGGAATCAGTTTGACTAATATAGTGTCTAAAATATTAGCTTCAATAATACTTCGACGCCTAACTAAAGCTCGTGAAGAGCAGACTAGAGAAAACCAGGCTGGTTTTCGACCTGGACGTGGTCGTATAGATCAGATATTCACACTACGTCAGGTTCTAGAACACAGACACACATTCAGACGCCCCACAGTGGTAGTATTTCTCGACCTTAAGGCGGCATTCGACTCTATTGATCGTGAGGTTCTATGGCAGTGTTTGTCACTGAAAAGAGTACCAAAGAAGTACATTAACCTTATAAAGGCTCTCTACTCGAACACAACTGGTAGAGTGAGAGCTTATGGCGAACTGTCATCAGAATTGATCACCTCAAGTAGTGTTCGTCAGGGCTGTCCACTCTCCCCATTCTTGTTCAACTTTGTCATTGACGTACTTTTAGAGATGACACTCTCCTCATCTAAATATACAGGAGGTTCACTTGTTGACTTAGAATATGCTGATGACATAGTTTTATTTGGTGAAGACGCTGACAAAATGCAGAGTCTTCTGACCACTCTAAGCAACAATGCAAGCATGTTCGGGATGCGATTCTCTCCCTCGAAATGCAAAATGTTGCTTCAGGATTGGGTTACATCGACACCCGAACTAGTGATAGGGAGTGAAGTAGTTGAGTGTGTCGACCGCTTCACTTATCTTGGAAGTCTCATCAGCCCTTGTGGTTTAGTGTGTGACGAAATCTCAGCACGGATACAGAAGGCTCGACTAGCTTTTGCCAACTTGCGTCATTTATGGCGTAGGCGAGATATCCGTCTATCAACCAAAGGACGTGTTTACTGCGCCGCAGTTCGTTCCGTCCTAATTTATGGCAGTGAAACATGGCCGGTAAGAGTAGAGGATATTCGTAGGCTACTAGTATTTGATCATAGGTGTCTTCGAAACATTGCTCGTATATCATGGGACCATCGAGTAAGTAACACAGTTGTTAGGAAACGGGTACTAGGTAAGGATGGCAAATCAATTGATGAAGTAGGGAAACTTCATCAGTTGAGATGGCTGGGACACGTGTTACGTATGCCCAACGACCGACTGCCTCGACGTGCTATGTTCAGTGGTATAGGAGTAGGTTGGAAGAAAGCTAGAGGCGGCCAAACCAAAACATGGCACAAGTCCATGAAGTCACTGACAAGTGGACTGAGCCATGTTTGTAGGTGTAGACTACCTGGTTGGGGACCGCGAGATGACAGCAACCGATGGTTAGAGACCCTGAATGACATGGCTCAAAATCGTTTGCAATGGCGCAGGTGCATCCACTCTCTGTGTTCTCCCAAATTCTAATCTTCTGAATTCTTCATGTCCCTTTTTTCCTCTTTCCAAATTTGTTTCACTGGATTATACTCTTTAAATAAAATCTCCAAACCCTAATCTTCCCGATTACTGCTTATACTCTTATTACCTCTACCACTACGGGATTTGAATCGACAAGTGCATCTTTGTGCTAATGTGGTGTGGCAACTCGAACTGATGTACGTACGTACGAAGTTCTACGTTGTTACTGACTGACTGAAATAATGCACAACGTGGAATTCTCTGGGACAACATTCGGAGAACATGTCCAAGCCACCGAAATCGGTGTTTCAAGATGGTGACACCAATTGAATTATCATCTCTGTGCCCGAACACACGATGCCGAACTTCTGCATTACTGACATGGTGTTGCCACTGAATGTCAGCAATCCTTCGGAGACAGCGATGATCGAACACAGAGAGTCGTTTAACGTCCTCAACTCGGAGAGGCCAGGTTTCACAAGCATAGGGCAAAACTGCTCTCACCGACGCGTTGTAGATCCGACCTTTTACAGCCAGACTAACATCACGAAGGTGCCAAATATGGCCCAGATTGGCATAAGCTGCTCTGGCTTTCACTATACATGCAATGACCTCATCACTCACGCCACCACCAGCACTTATGCAGCTACCTAAGTACACGAACTTCTCGACTACTTCTATCTGCTCATCATCCGGGGTGAGTACGAGATTAGAATCCTGCCAGTCTTGTAGAAGTACTTTGCACTTCGAAGGTGCAAAGCACATACCATGCCTATGGACACTGATTGCCAACTGATTAAGTGTGGATTGCATGGCTTGAGCATTATCGCACAGTAAGACAATATCATCCTCATACTCAGATCCACACCGCTATTACTTACATCCATCAGAGTTGTTTCCAGAATTTCGTCGATGGCAAAGTTGAAGAGGGATGATGAGATTGGGCAACCCTGTCTAACCCCACTGTTTGAATGGAACAATAGAGAGAGGTAGTTGTATGCCCTCACTCTGCCTGAGGTGTTTGTTTATAGTGGTTTTAGGATGTTAATCAACTCCTCAGACACACCCTTCTTCAATAGACAATCTCAGAGAACAATCCTGTCCAACGAATCGAAGGCAGCCCTGATGTCAAGAAACACTACGATTATTTTTGATAAGTATGGCGGTGTTCTAACATTTGGCGGAGAGTGAAGATATGATCAATACATCCTCGACCGGAACGAAAACCGGCCTGCTCCTCTTGATTCAATCTTCCTCGGGTTTTGAACAACCTACAAAGTATGACGGAAGCCAATAGCTTGGACGCAATTGGAAGTAGACTTATCCCCCGATAGTTGTTACAGGAACAACGTGAACCCTTTTTAAACATAGGGACAACTATCGACTCATTCCATGACATTGGTACACTCTCTAGCTCTCAGACCTTTGTAAACAACATCGTCAGTTCCTTAGCCAGAAATCACCACCATCTTTAAAAGGGGCCAGAGGTAAGTCATCTGGGCCCGGTGATTTGTAGAGCTTCAATAGTTGGGGTTCCTTGCGGACTTCCTCCTCGTTTGGTAGATCAGTCGTCACCGGCCATGGAGGGCAGGACAGTCTGACCGATGTTGCCGAAGCAGCAGGCCAGTTGAACTGCCCTTCGGAAAATTCTGCCCATCGTCCAAGGCGTCGATGGATGTTAGTGATTGGCATCCCGTCATCCTCGCAGATTGTTTCGCTCACACCAGACTTCTTGCTGTCATTGGCTCGGATGAGTTGGAAGAGCTTCCGGTAATTACCAGATGCAGCTGCTGCTTCCAGCTCATTAGCACGCTTCGACCACCAGGCTTCTCGGTCCGTACGCAAGCTTTGCCCACTTTCATTACGTAACAGTCGTCTTTTGTGGTCAAACTCACGGTCACTCGGAGTAGACTGACGAGCTTCGATGAGTTGTAAGGAGCCTGAAGAAACCCAGTGCTTATAAGCGGGACGTTTCGCGAACCCACAACTGACCGTACCCGCCATTTTGATGGGGTCGTGCAATTGCAACCAATGCTCATCTATACTTTTCGATGGAATGGTAGCTAGCCTAGAAGCTAGCTCGATTCGATGCTTACTAGCAACAGAAGTTGCAACCAGCTTACTAACGTCAATCCGTTGATGGAGGTCACTTCGTTGTCCACTGAAAAGTAAGGCAAGATTGGCGCAGATCAAAGCATGGTCAGAGTCCAGATAGGTACTCCGAAAGGAGCGGCAGTCTTGTACACAACCACGCCAGCGGTAGCTGGTCGCGATGTGATCAATCTGAGTCCAGGCTTGAGATGCAGAGGAAGGACGCCACGTGGCACATCGGCGATGACTGTGCCGAAAGTTAGTGCTAGCCAGAAACAGGTTGTGGTCTGTGCACAGTTGCAGTAGACGGTCCCCGTTATCTGTCCTGCGACCAACAAGTCCCCATCGGCCACCTAAACGACTCTTCTGTGCCTAGATGCCCGACCTGAGCATTCAAGTCTCCGGCTAGTACTACAATATCTGTCGAACGCACTTTCTGGAGAAGAACAGTTAACTGGTGATAGAATTCATCCTTGATTGCATCCGGGCTGCAATCTGTCGGGGCATAGGCGGAGATGACGAAGAGACATCGTTTCTCACACCGATTTCTTCTCACTTTGATGGAACTTTCTAATCTAATAGCACATAACCGACTGTTAATGGGGATCCAATCGATTAGTGCTGCCTCAGCTCTAGCGCTTAGTGCGACACCAAGGCGAGCAAGACCAGACGAAGATGCCACAGTGTCCACAGAAAAACACACGTAAAACAAGCTTTTCGAAGCGACAGATGGAGAGCGAATTTGTAGTACTTCACCAAAGTCTTGAATACGGGTCTCGGATAGACAACAAACGTCGATATTAAGACTTTCCAAAGACATAGCCAGCCCTATTGTTGTCCGACCTGCATAAGTGTACGAACGTTGAAGGCAGCCAGTTCGAATGGTGCACGTGGTTTCAGAAAAACTGCTTCAGTATTCGTATTTGGTGTTAGCATACAATTTTCAGCCAGACAGTGATTCGATAACGTCAAAATAGAACCGAGTTTCCACCTTAGGTGAGCTGCTATAATTCGAAAAATAAGGATATATAAAGTGGGAATAAAAGAGTAAATTACTTAGTAAATAATAATAATTTTTTGACTGTAAATCGAAGCGAGAATATAGTTTTCAGTAAATACCATCACTTTCATTATATTTGTGTGTGGGCTGTAATACTGCCCGGGTGTCCAGACTGAAGCAGCTGGTTTTCTTAGGCGGCCACACCCCGAGCCTCTGACCCACAAGGCAGTGGATCATCGTGAGATGCAGTCCCATGGTAGCCAGTGACCAACGATTGGTTCATACGCCACTTGTTCCCTCAGGATACTGAGGCCCTATGTGCACCATTGGTTTGGTATCCGGTTAAAGCGCCAGACATTCGCTTTTCCTCCTCTCATTTTCGTAAACAACAGTAATGCCACGAGAAGGAAGTGAGTAGGGCTTCCCTGGCAGAGGCTGTATACGCGTGGCCGTGTGAGAGCATTTTGAGAGGGAGGGCGGGCCCACTCCCGACCATACGGGTTATTAAAGTCCTAATAGTATTGTTCACACTGAGTAATTTGCTGTAACGGAATTTCAGCGTAATAGTTACTGGTTCGCTTGTCGTAAGTTGTAGCTTAAGATTGTACAACCGCAGCAACATTTGGTGAACCTGATTCGTTAACATTGATGATTCATGGACTTAAAGTCGTGGGAGAAGGGTCAATCATAGAAACATTTATTTTATTTAAACACAAGCATTGGTACTAGGAGTCACCAACTATACATGTGCCACACTTCCTCATTCGGTTGGTGTGAGGGCTAGAATACTACCAGGGCTCCCAAACTGCGACAGGATCATGGGAGCAGTAGAAATATCGGGAAGTGACGAAGGAATTTAATCACGAACAAGATCTCGGACGTTTTTAGAGGTATAAGGCCGGCCATTACTTTTTGAATGCCCATAGAGCAGAAGGATACTTGATGTACCTGTAGAGGAAACTTTATTAATTTTGGCCTTAGTCTAGAAGAGTAACTGCATAGCCCAATGAGCAACCTCCTTAAGCCGACCACACACGGCCTTTTTTGAAGGTTTCCTACTGCTTTATCTCTTTACTTTAAAAATGCCTTCCGGAGACGAAAATACGTGTAGTAAGATGAGGTATTATGCTTTTAGGGTTCACTTTTCCTAGCCTCTTCTATCGTTGGGTAACACCACTGCAGAAGCTAGCTGTCTGAGGGGAACATCTTACTGGTGTCGCACCCCTATGCAGTCAGCGGTGTGGCTTCGACCTCGAAACTTATAGGTTTACAATTCTCCAACCGCCCTATCTGCCATAGCAGGACTTAGTAGGACCTAAAAGAACAATTTCCCTAACTAATATAACTCGATTTAATCATCACGATTGTCAGTCCCGACCACCACATCAACTTAGCAGCTATGGTATAGAAATGGATTATGTAAACATAATGAGTGTCAAATATATCCATTTTGCGGAATTTCTTTAGTGCATTTTGTGATTGAACTTTGTCAATTGGATTTAGATGTGTAACTTTTTTCTGTTAACTTTCAGAAACCGATAAAAGCACTTCGGAGACATACACTCAAGTTTATTTGGCGAACAAGATACAAAATTCCCCTGATAAACACTGCATGAACAATATGAACTCTAATGGTATTCAGGTGGATAGTCACACATTAAAGTTTGTTACTTGTTTACCAGATGAGATCCCGTTGCCATCTATGGTAAGTTCTTCAAATAGTCTGGAAATATTGTACACTTTTGGTTGTAAAAGGTGTATCACCTACCTCGTACATTCTTCTGCACAGTATCAATGCAAATATGTTGAGCTTCAATTGTATTTCTATAATTCACAATAGAACGTATCACTCCCTTTCAATTTAAGGGTCCAAGTATATAGATTTACTTAGAATACGGATTTCTGAATTTGTCTTGTCGTAAAATTATTTCTGTCTTTTCGATGGGAAGTATACATAAAGTAAATATTTATCTTTTATCATTGTTATTTTGATGAGTTCCCAATTTTTACCACTCAAACCAATTTCTCTCTAAATTCAGGTTTCTTCTAATGCCCCAAACCACGAAACTCCAGCCTGTACTAACCTTGCAAAAGAGGCGATTGATCAGGTATGATATATTTTATATATAATAAAACAATTTATCCAGCAAGGTTATCTTTCATGCAATTGGTTCCCTTTATGAATTTAAATAGAGCAAGAACAAACATTGATGCAGAATAGTATGAATTCATATTATTTCGAGGTTTCTCGTCAGCTGCTTTCAAACCAAAATTGTGATAGAATTTTTACATGGAGATACTTACTTACGCCTGTTACTCCCAAAGGAGCATAGGCCGCTGACCAGCATTCTCCAACCCACTCTGTCCTGGGCCTTCTTTTCTAGTTCCATCCAATTCTTGTTCATTTTTCTCATGTCTATCTCCATTTCTCGGCGTAATGTGTTCTTTGGTCTTCCTCTTTTCCTTTGACCTTCAGGATTCCATGTGAGGGCTTGTCTTGTGACGCAGTTGGGTGCTTTCCTCAATGTGTGTCCTATCCACTTCCAGCGCTTCTTCCTGATTTCTTCCTCCACTGGGATCTGGTTTGTTCTCTCCCACAGTACGTTGTTGCTAATAGTGTCCGGCCAATGGATCTGAAGTATTTTGCGTAGACAATTGTTGATAAACACCTGTATTTTCTGGATGATGGCTTTTGTAGTTCTCCAGGTTTCTGCCCCATACAGTAGAACTGTCTTGACATTTGTATTGAAAATCCTGACCTTGGTGTTGGTTGACAGTTGCTTTGAGTTCCAGATGTTCCTCAGTTGTAAATATGCTGCTCTTGCTTTGCCGATCCGCGCCCTCACATCTGCATCAGATCCACCCTGTTCATCAATGATGCTGCCCAAATACGTAAAGGTTTTTACATCTTCCAAATCTTCTCCGTCAATTGTGATTGGCTTGGTGCATTCTGTGTTGTATCGGAGAATCCTGCTTTTCCCTTTGTGTATATTGAAACCTATTGATGCTGAGGCTGCTGCCACACTGTTCGTCTTCTCCTGCATCTGTTGTTGCGTTTGGGATAGAAGGGCCAGATCGTCTGCGAAGTCTAGATCATCCAACTGCATCTTAGATGTCCATTGTATCCCGCGCTTTCCTTCAGACGTTGACGTCTTCATGATCCAGTCGATCACCAGGAGAAAGAGAAAGGGTGAGAGTAAGCAACCTTGCCTAACACCGGTCTTCACTTCGAACGACTTTGTCAACTGTCCTCCATGCACGATTTTGCAGTGTAATCCATCATATGAGTTCTGTATGATATTGACTATCTTCTGAGGCACGCCGTAGTGTCGAAGAAGTTTCCATAGTGTTGTTCTGTCCACGCTATCAAATGCCTTTTCGTAGTCAATGAAGTTGATGTAGAGTGATGAATTCCATTCAATTGATTGTTCCACAATGATCCGTAGAGTTGCGATTTGGTCTGTACACAATCTATCCTTACGGAATCCTGCCTGTTGGTCACGAAGTTGGGCGTCTACGCAGTCCTTCATCCTGTTTAACAATACTCTGTTGAAGACTTTTCCCGGTATTGAGAGAAGAGTGATGCCCCTGTAGTTATCACACTTGCTGAGATCGCCTTTCTTCGGTATTTTGATCAGTAGTCCTTCTTTCCAGTCTGTTGGTACTTGTTCCCCATCCCAAATCTTATTGAAGAGAATGTGGAGTATCCTTGCAGTTGCCGCTACGTCTGCTTTTAGTGCCTCCGCTGGGATGTTGTCCGGTCCTGCTGCTTTGCCACTCTTGATTTGTCTGATGGCCATGCTGATTTCTTCAATTGTTGGTGGGCCAACATTGATTGGGAGGTCCGTGGGTGCTGCTTCGATGTTGGGTGGGTTCAGTGGAGCTGGTCGATTCAACAGTTCTTTGAAGTGTTCTACCCACCTGTTTTGTTGCTCTTCAATGTTGGTGATTACCTCGCCTTCCTTGCTTTTCACGGGTCTTTCTGGTTTGCGGCGATTTCCAGACTGTTTCTTTGTCGTGTCATACAGTTCTCTCATGTTTCCTTCTCTTGCAGCCTTTTCCGCCGTCGTTGCTAAATCTTCCACATATTTACGTTTGCCGGTTCTGATGCTCCTCTTCACCTGCTTGCTTACTTCTGTGTATTCACCTTGCGCCTTGTCTTTCTCTGCTCTTGTTCGACTGGAATTGATCGCTGCCTTCTTGTTCCTCCTTTCTTGAATCTTATCCAGTGTACCAACAGTGATCCATTCCTTGTGATTGTGCTTCTTGTGACCCAGGACCTCATGACATGTTGAAGTGATTGCCTCTTTGATCCCCTTCCAGTTGCTCTCCACAGTAGTTCCTTTTCCATTGAGTAGATCATGAAAGGCCTGGAACTTGTTGCTGAGGACTATCTTGAATTCGTTGAGTTTATTAGTATCCTGGAGAAAGGCCGTATTGAACTTTTGTGATACTGTCTGCCCCGTTGTCCAGTGCTTCTTGAGTTTCAATTTCATCTTGGCGACCAGTAAGTGATGATCTGATGCTATATCAGCTCCTCTCTTGGTTCTCACGTCCTCTATAGTCCTCCTGAACGTTTTGTTGATGCAAATATGGTCGATTTGGTTTTGTGTAGAGTGATCCGGTGAAGTCCATGTGGTTTTGACATGGAGATAGTGTGAAACAATTGACATAAATGAGTGTAAATAACGTGATTACAATAATAACTATATATATATATGCTAGAAACAGGTCAGAGGTCAAAAGAGGGGGTTAATCCAGGGTGGGTGGTGTAATAATTTAGTGAAGTTCATAAATTGTGTGATAATTGTAGAGATTATGAGTTTATTCTGAAGCTGCACAATCCCAATTACATGTAACAAATTTTAGTTCAGTGAAGAACCTTATTAGCGCGTCCAGAGAAAAGAACAGAAATAGTGCTACTGGATTAAGTAAACTACATAGATAAAATCAAAAAAAAATTATTATCTGATGATAGTATTCTTTCGAAGTTAGATAAAGAAAATAAAACAATCCAGAGGCAGCTTACAGATATTCTCAAGCGTTTGAACAAAATATCCTTTAATAACATCTGACCAATTCAGAATAATAAAACCAGGTCCTATCATACCCCAGACTATATAATTTACCTAAGGTACATACCCTTTCGTCTTATTCTCTACATAACTGGATCATTGTACCATTATGTTGCAAAGTGAATAACTCATGTTCTTGAACTAATTCGAAGAGATGTTTGCAAGTATTCTCTGAACGATACGTTTAAGATTGTCGATTTCGTAAGTAATGTAAACGTTTCGAATAGGATTTTGATTTCATTTGACATTAATTCATTATTTATGGACGCATTGTTGATGGAAACCGTATGTTTCATTTGTGTGTTAAAGATCTTATTCTGATGTACAACTTAAATTTACATTTCACCTTGTAAACCTCCACTTTAGGGTAGATATTGCCGTATTTATACTAAAAAGCTGTCTAAAACTATTAGAAAAACGTATATATATATATATATATATATATATATATATATATATATATATATATATCGTCCACTTTTGTCTGCCTCCATTTCTCAAAGTAATGTGTTCTTTGTTCTCCCTCTTTTCCTTTGGCCTTGAAGATTCCATGTGAAGGCTTGCCTTGTGATGTAGTTGGGTGTTTTACTCAATGTGATTCCTATCAACTTCCTAATTTCTTCCTCCGCTGGCATCTGCTTTGTTTGCTCCCACAGTACGTTGTTGCTGATAGTATCTGGCCAACGGATCCGAAGTATTTTTGGTAGACAACTGTTAATAAACACCTGTATCTTTTGGATGATGGCTTTTGTAATTCTCAAAGGTTCCACCCCATACAGTAGAACCGTGTTGAAAATTCTGACTTTGATGTTGGTTAACAGTTGTTTTGAGTTCCAGATGTTCTTCAATTGTAGATATGCTGCTCTTGCTGCCCGGAGTCTATGGTTGTGGGCTAACCTGAATTTGTTGGGTTTGTCAGTATCCCGAAATAAAGCTGTATTAAACTTTCGTGATGTTGTCCGGTGCTTCGTGGGTTTCAATTTCACCTTGGCAACCAGCAGATGGTCTGATACTATATCAGCTCCTCTCTTGGTTCTTACAGCATCCATTGTCCTCCTGAAATTTTTTATGATGCAGTTATTGTCGATTCGGTTCCGCGTGGTGTGATCCGTTGAGGTCCATGTGGCTTTGTGTATGCGTTTATGTGGGAATATGGTGCCCCCTATGACCAGTTTGTTAAAGGCACACAGGTTCGCAAATCTCTCACCATTTTCGTTCCTTTCTCCCATTCCATGTCGTCCCATGATGTCTTCATATCCGATATTGTTCATTCCAACCTCGGCATTTAGGTCTCCAATCAGAATGGTCAAGTCCTTTGTTGGGCACTTCTCAACGATTGACTGCAGCCTATCGTAGAATTGATCTTTAACGTCTTCATTGTAGTCGTTGTTAGGCGTATAGTATTGGATGACGTTCATTGTAATGCCCTCTTTCTTTGTTTTGAGGGAGTCTTTGATGGCCCTTGGTCCATGAGATTCCCATCCTATAAGTGTATTTTGTGCTTGTTTGGTTGGCATGAATGCAATTCCTTTTGTATATGGGGAATTTCCTTCTTGATGGCTGAAGTATAACCGAAACTCCCCTGAAACTAGTGTTTGCTGTCCAACCTGCATCCAATGTGTTTCACTGATTCTGAGAAACTCCATGTTGTATCGGCTAATTTCTGCAGCAATTTGGAAGACTTTCCCGGTCTCCCACATTGTACGAACATTCCGTAGACCTATCCATATTTTAAAAGCTTAGTTGTGCGTGCCATGATCATATTTTGTAGTTTGTTTTTGCTTAATTGATTGTTCCCTTTCTTTGTTCCTACCCCTAAGTTTACAAAATGATTCTACTTTAAATAGAGCAAGAACAAAGATTGGTGCAGAATAATATGAATTCATTTTATTTCGTTAGGATCTCATCAGCTGCTTACAACCTAAATTATTTGAAATTCAAATTATTACAGATATTGACATGCAATAAATCTGCTAGAGTTTTTCATCGAAGCACATCCGAATATTCATGAAAAGGAAAACAAGTTCCATTTTCTCGATATCGTGATGAAAATAAGAAAGGATGGTACAGTTCAACGTCCAATCAGTTACAAAAAAGCAGTGGTCAAAACACTTTCACAGAGCAGAAAGAATATGTACTTCCGACACACTAGAAGAGGAAGTTATGAATGTTAAAAAAATGTTTAAAAAATAACGGATACTCACTGAAATTTAAGAAATACGGCAAATGTGAAGATAACCAAAAGAAATTACAGCAAATAAAAAGCCTATTTTATTCAACTTCAATTCAAAGGTGACGATGTCATAGGATCAATCAATATGAGACTAAAAACTGCACTGACAAGAAGTTATCCTGCAGCGAAATTGATTGTCCTGTCCAAAACAACATGTTCTTTGACACATCAAAGGTCGACAGGTATCCCTTTCATGTTACCACCAACTGTGTATACGAGTTTACATGTACCTGCCAAAGCAGTTACATTGGTAGAACAGAAAGGAGAGCCTACGTCCGATTCAAAGAAGATATTCCAAAAAGTTTAAGGTTGAATGGATTGAACGCATTCAACAGTGTTATCGCAAGACATCTCCTTGATACAGGACATAAAGCTGATATACTGAAGTCCTTCAAGGTGATTAACAAACAATCAAACTCCAACCTTTTGAAATTCGCTGAATCGTTAGCAATCAAACGTTTAAAACCAGATCTATGTATACAAAAAGAGACAGTAATAAATCTTTCTTTACCGTCGTAACAATAACCCCACCCTTTCTATTCATTTGCTCCTATTTATTTATTTATTTATTGCATCATTATCGCAACTCTTTCTGAAGTTTAAATTACATCATACATAAATGATTGATTTCAATTCATATTTTCTTTATTAGCATTAATCTATTTTCATGAGTTCTAATCACTATTTCAATGTTCCAGAACTTTCCCTCTCAAACTTTATTTATTCGAATCAAACATTTTATGAGCTGATTAACTCTATCTGAATCTTCGCTACATCATGATACACATGTATTGATCGTTAATCACACTCTTATGTATAAATATGTCAATATCTGTAATAATTTGAATTTTCAAATAATTTAGGTTGTAAGCAACTGATGAGAACCTAACGGAATAAAATGAATTCATATTATTCTGCACCAATCTTTGTTCTTGCTCTATTTAAGATAATAAAGGGAACTATGTGTATGAAGATTCTACTTTACTTTGATTTATTATTATTAATCCAGATTTTTTGATTACCGTTCACATACTTTCATTTCAACCACACTTATCACCTCATTGACTACGTATTCTACATTTTTCGTAAAGTTTTCCTTGAATAACTATCTGTTTATTTACAGTGATGTGGTCGAATTTCATAGAATTAATCAAATTCTAACAGACATATTATTACTCGTTGACCTGTAGTCTATCACATATGTGTACGACTGTACATCTTTGAAAATGAACTCGTTAAAAAGGATTCCTTTGCTGAATAAATTGTTTTATGGTTTATAGGTTATATTTGATTTTTTTAATAGTTATCATCTAATTATATCATTGACTAGGGTCCCCTAGTATACATTTTTGTCTCTCAGAGGATATCATTTAGGACTTTGTACTTCTACAGGACCCAAACTAATAGTTGACTTCATGAATTCGTACTGTTTTGAACTGGTTGCATTTCGTTTTTTTCTGACTCAGACCTACTTTGTCGATATCGAGCTAGACAGTAGCTTGACACTCAATATGCAGTAGCTTAGTTGATCACTGAGCACTTGGTCTTCAACCAATAGCTTCCAGGATCAAACCTTCATTCAGTTGAGTAGTAGGTATTGTTAACTCTGTTACGAAGATTGTGTTTCAGCTTAGCGCATAACTATCTACTTAGTGATTGTATTACATTATATTCGCGGTCATATTGCTTATGCTTTAAAACGGGAGTCACTATTTCGACAACGCGAAGTAAGAACACGAAATACTAATGCAATCAAGATTAACTAAAAAAAACTTGAAGAGGTTAGAACAAATACAATCATCTATATACTGATTTTAAATAAATTTGATTAATTAATAAACATCATATAAATGTAAAAATACATAAGTTTACAGTAAAACAAAGTTCACACTTGTCATACTGAACAAAAATGTTCCATTGAGAATAAAAATAATGTCCCATTGGAAACGAAAACTGATGTCACGGGATGTTACACTGAGTTCAAGTCATGTGTTATAAGCATCTATTCACACAAATATAAATGTCCAACATTCTTTAAATCGCTAAATATTCGGTTTGCACTAGAATGTAGTAGCAAACAAAATTAATTCTATTCGTACTCCGTTTTGTTATTTTTTATTTCAGTGTTGTGCTTTAAAAACTATCAGTACTGACCTAAATAACTAACACTTTTGATTATTTTCCAAACCTTTGGCAAATCTGATTAAAGAATTGAAACCATGTCGTTGGTTATTTCGAAAATAGGTAGTGAATTAGTTTATTTCTACTTTGGACCCTCTTTGTGCAATGACGCATCACTAAATTTCCTACATAAAACAGGATGATTATACTACAAAAATAACTTGCTTATCTTTCAGTCTTCCAAATCTGTCTTGCAATTATATGGTGTTACTCATAAACTGAAGCCATACCTTTTTTAACTAATAAGCTTACTGGTTTCTAATTATCTTTGTTTTTATAGGCTTCACTAATGAGAAATATTGATTTGAAGGAACTTGTTCGTGAAGAGGTCTTACGTATCTTAAGTGAAAGGAATCAAGATTTTTCAACACCTAGCACAACAACTTCAGTGGCATCACTGTCAGATGATAAACTCTTAGCTCCAGTAGCTAACACACCACCTACTCAACCAAAAACTTCTGTAACACATAATGCACCAAGTATTTTAAATCTTTGGCCACATCTTTCTTTTAATGGTGTCTCAAGTAAACATGTACCCCCTCCATTGACAGCTGGTGAAGAAGTTACAGAAATTTCCAACATCAACGAATTTAATTCAACTCCATCTGCTCCTGACAACAGTTCAGAGGTAAATGTTTCCTCAATATTTTTTGTTCAACAGTTGTCTAGCATTAAAAAGTGAAAGTATCTTTATAGAAGTTCCATCAAACGTGAGTTGTGACCTTGTTGTATCTGTGTAGATTCAGGAATGACATTTACAGCAACTTGGTATCTCTTAATCAATGCAATTGTTCGGAGAAAATTAATTTGCAGATCAGCCAATCAGCTAAAACGTAGGACCAGGCATATATATATGCATCGGTCCAAGTTACCACACCTCATTAGCACAACAAGATGAACACCATATTCAGAGAAACAGTTACTTCAGTTGTAGTAATATATAAAAGAAAGATTGTGTATAAGCATGTAGTACAGGAAGGAAGGATTAACTGATAGAAAGATATAAAGCAATTTTAATTTCACTGTCTAAGGGAAGACAGACTGTATACACCGACGCCATTGTGATCGGTTCTGAGCAATGTCACCAAGAGCTCCAACCATTGGTTACGATAGTCACGCGGACCCAAAAAAACTTTGTCGTATTTTGATAACGTGTTTAGTATATTATGGTCAAGTTATCCTCCTAATGTTACTAAATGTCACAAGCTGCTAAATTAGAGTTAGATGAGAATTCTAATTTCACTATAGCTATCAAGACTGCTTTGTTTGGTACTTTTAACTTAGGAAATAAACCGGCACAATTCATCACTTGAATAAATAAAGGTTATTTGCAGCTTCCTCATTTGATCCTTGTAACATATTGATGTGATATATAAGCTTCTACTTTATGTAACAGGGTTGTTTAACCAACAATACTGTAGACCGCCCCCGTAAATGTGTGTACTGAAACCTTGGTACACTAAATTTTTACTTGTTAGTTATCTGAAAATGGCGGAATCCCTTCTGAACCTAAAACATTGATGCCCTCATTTTTATCCTATGTTGGTGGCTTTGTTCGCCGCCAAATACAGCAATTGACGGAGAATCAAAACAACCGTTCCAATTATGGGTCATGGTTAACCGAACTGGGTCTCAATCCTTGTGAGGAGTCGTTCAACAAACCTATGGAGAGGCCATCTGTTCCAAGTTATTCAGTTGATGAGGTAAGTTTCGTTTGGCGCTCATTTATAATGGGTTGTTTCTTCAGTACAGTTTTCATATCATGCTTTTATTAACAAAATACAGATTATTACTAAAAAAATAGCATTTTGACATTTATCTTTAGTGTGAGACTCACCCATTCTAGTAACTCTGTATGTTAATGCCAAATGTCACTCAATTTATTTTTATTCTTATTATATTGCATATTTTCTAAAAGTGTTGAATGTATCCATATTTCACCATTTACCCTCGACTGCTTCACTTTCTTTGGTTGTACTAAACATTGACACAGACTAATCTGAAAGCAACTATTTTAGAGGAGAATAAACGTTTTTCCATTAGCTCAATGGATGTAGAAAACTTATCAGCTGTTACACCAAACAGGACTATTCTATTTATGTTCACCTAGTCAACACGTAAATGTGAAGGTGTGAAATCGATTCTTAAAAAGTCACACAACGTAAACGTTTTCTCGAAATTCACCTCTGTGGTAAAATACTAGGAGAAAAGTAACTAGTCCTGACAAATCACCACGCGATGTGGCCCGTTTTCACAACAGTTCGCTATAATCTTCAGCGTAGTTGTTACTGTTGGATTACAGTCTTGAAAGACTATAGTTGTTTGGTACATCTTTCAGTAACAGACACTGGTATAAAACCTGTCGATCCATTCTTCAGGCGAGTAAGTATAACTATAGTTGCCCATCATTAAGTATACATGTAATTCCGGACCTACTAAACTGTAAATATTTGATCTATACATTCACATCTACGCATGAAACTAGACTGGTTTTCTGGGGTTCACTTTTCCTAAAGTTATTAATCAACTGCTTTATACAATTTCTCAGACCATATAGTTTTGTGTGCAAAGTTATGGCTATACATCTCATTGGGTGACATCTGTTATTAACGATATAAATTGATGATGGATGTTGCCTTATACGCGACAAGTTTATATCCGGTCAATCTATTTCATTATTCTCTTAAGACGATACTCTGCTTTTCTGAAGCCTTATTTCTATTTTTTAGGAACAACCGTGGTGTCCTGGATGTCATCAAATGTTTGGATCCCGAGCTGATCTAGAAGAACACCTCATTGATTGTTTATTGTGAATTGGTTGATCCTTTTACTTCGTATTATAACGGTTCTGTTTGCTGATAAGTGCTCCAGGATTTGTTTGTTCGTATGCTCTTTAGTATTTCCTTTGTCATTCCATGCAATGATAACTATATCGACTGGAGATCGTAACCCATCTACCATTCTCAAGATTCAATCAGATTATACTTTGATCTCTATGTCCAAGATGTCCACCCTTTATCATAACTGTTCTCACGTAATTATGAACTAACATTTATTATAATTATCATCATCATAAACATTTACCATATATACCATTGTTTTCATTTCGTTCAGTAATTGTTATTACTTCGTAATAACTTTTAAAATTTAAATACTTAATAATTTAATATATAGAGTAAACATTTATTTAATCATACTCGTTATTTATACAATACACATCATTTGCTACAAATTATTAATCTTTATTGCTGTAGTAATTATTGTATCATATAGGTAGACGTGAAATGAATATAATTCTATCGTAACTGTGAATAAATATAACTTCGAATTTCCAAATAACATTTTGATAACAAATAATTAAGGTGACCGGAAGCATTCATGGACTCAGAAGAAAAGTTCGATGTTGCAGAAGCTTCAAATCTCTAGAGTTGCTGTGCATATTCCATATTGGAGTTAATAATGTAATGAACAATCAGCCGTTGAAATTTACTTAATCGACCATATTCCGATTTCTTTAAAACATCAGTAATTCGAAAATTTAGTCATAAAATTTTCTCACATATAATAGTTTAATTGTGATATAGATCATAAAAGTTTCCACCCATTTCCAGCGATCTGTCACATATCTTGAAGAGATTTAAATGTGGCAATTACGTCAAATAATCTTGTTCATTTCAAAGCATTATAAGAACCATTGAGTTTCCCATATCTGTCCTTAAGTAAAACATTATAGGATTCATAGAAATCTAACCTACTGAACAGCAGTGTTAGTTCGTACATAATAATAAGTTAACTCTTTAAATTCTTGAAAATCCTGACGAAGTACTCTGATAGTTGAAATTTAATATGTAGATAAATGATATTACGAGACAACTATATGACAAGAAACTAACATGGAAATACTGTAGACCAGTCAAGGGAAAGGAGAGCAATCCGATCTCTCAGATTCAAGAACACTTTGAGGGACTCTCGAATAGATCAGCTCCACTGAACCCACCGGACATCGAAGTAGCACACACAAACCTCGCCATAGCTGTCACTTCGCCAACAATCGAAGAAATCAGCATGACCATCAGACAAATCAAGAATGGGAAAGCAGAAGGACCTGACAATATACCAGCTTAAGCACTGAAGTCATACACAGAACTGCAAACATACTCCACGTTGTGATCATGAAATTTGGGAGGAGTAACAAGTGCCAACGGACTGGAAGCAAGGATAACTCATCAAGATACCAACGAAAGGAAATCTGAGCAAGTGTGGGAACCATCGAGGCATCACGCTACTATCATTACTAGGAAACGTTTTCAGAGTGTTGTTGAACCGAATGAATGATTCAGTAGACGCCCGACATCGATATTAATAGATTGGATTCCATAGCATTGGTCGTGTACCGACTAAATCGTGACACTACGTATCATCGTCGAACAATCATTTAAGTGGAACTTGTCACTATACATTAACTTCATCGACACGAATGAGTAGGTGAGAAGATTGTCGACATTATCCGGAATTTATACGACGGACTACAGTGCAAAGTGGTGTATGGGGAACAACTGACAGATGTATCCCAAGTGACAATCGGAGTTAGACAACGTCGCTAACTCCCTTCTGGTGGTTGACTGGATCATGAAGACCTCCAAATCTGAGGGGAAGCATGGACGGATTACATGCAACTAGATAATTTACACTTCATAAATGACCTGACCCTTCTATCACATACACGCCAACAAATGCAGGTGAAGACAAACAGTATAGTGTCCACCTCTACAACAGTAAATCTCAACATACACAAGGGGAAGAGAAAGATCCTCAAATACAACAAGGAGAACACCAACGCAGTCGCACTTGATGCAGAAAATCTGGAAGGTATGCAAGTCTTCACGTACCTGGACACCATCAGATGCAGATGTAATTGCAAGAATTGATAAAGTAAGGACAGCATTTCTACAATTGAATAACTTTGTGAAAGTCATTAAACTGTGTCACTTAGCGATTGCTAACTTGGAATCGTGGAGGGAAACAGAAAAGAGGAAGATCAAGAAACACATTGCGTCGAGAATTGGGAGCAGACACCAAAAGGATCTCCAATGATGGAGAATGCTGGGGCCACCTATGTTCCTTCGCGATGCTTATCAGGCAAATTATTCAAACGGTAGTCTGGGGTCACGTCCGGAACTTAATCCTTTAAATTTCTGACTTTTCTCCCAGTATACGAGCCTTGACTGTCAGCTAAATCACATTCCCACTGCCGTTGATTAGAAATATCATATCACTTATAATTTCTAAAATTAACGCAATTAGGTATTGATTAGTAGAGGCTGTACGTAACTTCGGATAATGGGGTATAAAACTCAAGAAATACTGGTTTTTCTACAAATCATCTATTTGAAGATCAAGTCAAAGTATACTTTTAGAAGTATTCATCTCATTCTACATTAATTATTCGTCATTGGTACAAAGGGCATCACACAATAATAATGAAAATGTAAAGTGAATATAAGAAAAAGGCGAACAATAACGAACAGAAATTAGTGTATAAGAGTAAATTAGTAATAACGGGAGATGCAAATTTACAACCAGAAAGTATTCTTCCCCTTAAGGTAGTTACGTCCATTTTTTATGAAGAAAGTTATAGCAGGACTGTCACTGACTTCCATTCTGAGCCATATCTGATAACGTCCCAAGTCACTGTAACATCTCTAAGACCTGAACCAGGGACCAACAAAAGCAAGTCTTGAACAGCTTTATTTCATGCCACGACACCATGTCATACACTAACCACCTCTCCGCCTTTTCCAACCAGTCCCAGAGTCGGCAAATAATGCAGTACGTGGAATCCTCTGGGACGGCGTGACCAAGCCATCGATGTTTCAAGATTGTGTCACTAAATGAAGTATCGTCGCTGTGCCCGAACACACGATGCCGAACCTGTGCATCAATAACATGGTTTTGCCACTGCATGCCATCAATCCTTCAGAGAGAGCGACGATCGAACACAGAAAGTCATCTAACATCCTCAACTCGAAGAGACCAAGTTTCACAAGCATAGAGCAAAATTGCTCTCACCGACGCGTTGTAGATCCGACCTTTTACAGCCAGACTAACATCACGAAGGTTCTAAAGATGGCCCAGATTTTCATAAGCTGCTCTGGCTTTCACTATACGTGTAATGATCTCATCACTCACGCCAACACCAGTACTTACGCAGCAACAGAGATGCGAAAACATCCCAACCACTACCTGCTCATTACCCAGGGTCCTGCCAGTCTTATAAAAGTACTTTGTACTTCGAAGGTGCAAAACACGTAAGATACCTACAGGCTCTAATTGCGAATTATATGGCTTTGGTATCACCGTACAGTAAAACAATATCATCACTTAGTAACAACATAATCACATTAATTTTAAAGCAAATTATTCCACTTCCACACTTATTCTCAGTAATGTATAATACAAAAATTGGTCATTTTAATGGAAAATCGTCATTACAAAATATCAACAGATTTGAGAACGCTTTATACGTAAGTATAAATTGAATTCTGCTCTTTTCTCTGCTTTAGGTTAGTAATGGTTAATTTACCCGTACAGATAAACGGCTAATATTTGCACAAATCTTTGTTCATAACCTTATCTATGCTCATTATAAAGAGTGCACTGCTAACTCTAATAACAACTTTCATAGCTTTGTTTACCAAAGTTTTTCTCACACACAGAAAAGAATAAGAGATAAAATCGTAATCCTAGTATTCAAATAAATACTTTACAGCATGGACGTCGGCTCTGTTTCAAATCTGCAACTGTCACAAATGGTATCCGCACTCTAAAATTCTTGTTACAGAATATAAGTGCGTTCACATAATCCAAGAGCTATATTTCACATTTTAGTCACACATAATATTGAGAACATCATTTCCCATATAAATCCTACTTTTTTTCTTAATTTAATAATGTAGTAAGTTAGTCAGTTGGATTTCAACCAACGATATTTTCAAGGACACGTATCCGAACATAATCCAATGTATCAAGTGATGTTTCTAGTTTTATCATTTCCTGAGTTATAGGTCAGATAAGATCATTTATCCTTAAGATTATTGATGAACATTGCGCCGCTGGAAACCTCTTCACAAAGTTGCTGCAAAGAAAGTCCTCTTCAGGCAAACGAACGTCTGTAACTCTATCACCTTTAAAATCGATGTTTATGTAAAATATTTTCTTTTCAACCGAGATTGTTTGTGCCTTAGGCGGTTTGGGTTTCATATGCTTGTTAATAAATATCGATGGATAATTGTCTTCGATAAGTATTTTCTTCAGGAAACTCAGTTCGTTATCTATGACCTCGGGACTACAAATTATTTGTATTCACTTTCGACTAATGGGAACCCAGCTGTGGAAACTTTATATTTCGCCACTACATAAGGGTTTCCTCTACACAGATCTTCTTAACATTCCCGAAGCAATAGCTATACATCTGGAAAAACCAGAATTATGTGACCAAAAGCAATTGGTACAACCTCATATTATACCATCGTCTTAGTGTGTCATGATTTCCTTTCTTCTTCACATTGTTTCCTTCACATACATCTGCTTCCCCTTCTATCTTCTCTATAAACCTACTAACCCCAACTGGTTCATATCTGTTTCTATGATCCTCCTGATTACAGTTCATCTCAATTTCAACATTTAATCTTATCATGCTGAGCCATCGTTTCCCAATGATAATTTTCTTATCTATCTTTACGATGAATATTTAGGCCCTTAACAATAAAACCATTATCAGAATATGAACTTGTGGAGATCGTAGTAATTTCAACAGTTGAATCCATGAGTTGATCTAAGTTATACCACCATTGAAGACCTGGAGGCACTTGCCAGCCATTTCAACCTAGTATGGGACTCTTCAATAGTGTACATCCATGTTCTCACACGCGGTACTCCCTGAATTAAGATAATGTTTAATACCTTTATTTATTCTACCTCTCTGTTGCCATTTTCGGAAACATTCTACTATCACTATCATTAATTATTATCATCTTGATAAATAAGTATATATTTGTGTTTGTGAAGCTTAGAATGTAAATTGACCTAAGAGAACCCTTTGTTGAACCAGTCTTTTGTATTCTAAATACTTAACAGTAAAAGTCTTAGTGTCATAGGATAATATCCTTTTTTAAAACGTGTGTAATAATTAATATTAAAGCAATTTTATTTGCAAATCGACAGACAGATAGGTAGATAGTTGAATGTGTGTGTGTGTGTTTTTCAAGAAAATCGCAAATATACATCTATACATTTAACCATCAAATAACAACAATAACATTCAAATCAATGAC